CTTCCTCTTATTTTTCTCTTCTCCTTGGACTTTAATGAAACTGTTCTTTCCTGATTCTCCTCTTATATTACTGACCACACAGTCTCCTTTGCTGGATCATAATGCAAATATATCAATACAAATGTATAAACAGTTCCTATATACTCAAGGCTCTGTTTTGACACCTCGGTTGATCATTTCTATACAGTTGACTGTTCCTTTAGTCTAAAATTCACCTCCTGAATCTCTTAGAATTAACAGTTTCCTTCAAGGCTCAACTCAAATGCTTCTCTCTACATTAATCAGTCCTGAACCTCTTCAAGAACTTTACAAATATGATCTCACTTAATCTTTACAACAACATTGAGAAGTAGGTGCTGCTATTATCTTCATTTTGCAGTTGAGGAAACTGAGGCTGACAGAGATTAAGTTACTTGCCCAGAGTTACACGGCTACTAATGCTGGAGTCAGGAAAACCTGAGTTCAAATCTAGCCTTAGAGACTTAATGGTACATAGTGGAACTATATAAATGCTCATTTCTCTCTCTTTGTAAATTTCTAACATATCTATCTATCCCTCTATCTGTCATCTACCTACCTACCAAAAGGACTTTTTAACTTTTTTTTTTATAATCTCAGATCCTGGCACATATTAAGTGCTTAAGAAATTCTTGATTGATGTACTGATGAGTAATAGTTGTAGAAGGCAGATTTATTTAAATAAAAACCTGCTACTAACAATTAAAGTTGCCTTAAAGTAGAAGAGATTGCTTCAAGAATTGGTAGATCCACATTTTCTTCTCTTGACTCTCTACTCCCAAAGTCTTCAAATAAAGGCTGATGGACCATAGGCTCAGGGTGAGGGGAGATTTTAGATGAGACTTCATCATGAAGTAGATTGGGCGGTCCCTGGGATCCCTCCTAATTCGGAGATCCTGTTAGTCTGTGTTCTCTCTTGGTTTTATTTTATCTTCTTTTGTGAGTTCTGCAGTATATGCAATAGGAACTTTATTGATGTGTTGTTGCTATTGGTGAGGTCCCTGTTTAGACACTGGTGGATTTTGGAAGATTATTTCCCATTTTACAGAGATAGTGTTTATTAAATATTAGTATAGCTTATCTCTAGAGCTCTCTTTGGTTCTATTAAACTGCATTTGCCTCTGGCTAGAATTTTTCTTTTTCCTCTTTAGTTTAAGGAATTTTCTCTTCTGGACCTTTGTGAATATTCTTCTTCTAGGCCTTTACCCTCTTAATCTCTTTATGGGCATAAATTTGTTTTCCCAATTATCCAATTATCTTTCCCTCCAAATGGAGAGAACAATGGGCAAGCTGTATCTTTTTTTCTAACCGTTTAAACATTCTAAATATTTTTCAATTCACTGAATTTCAAGGCAGAGACTGATTTGCTTAGGGTACACTCAGCATTTCAAGTCTCTTATGGGTATAATGTTTTCAGGCATGAATATTCTATACCTAAAATTCAACTGATATCATATAAAATACATCAAGGGAGCTGAAACTCTTAAATTACTGTTTTAAGACATTCATATCAAGGAATGAAGATAGATGGAGTTGATTAATTTATGATATATTTTAGTGTTTTATTTTTGATAAATATTAAAGTATTTTAAGACAAATAATTTTAAGTTTATCATATAATTTGTATTATAGTTTGATAATTGAAATTCCAAAATACATTGTGAACACACCTACAAATTATCACTTATGTCATTTAATCTACAATTTGACAATCGAATCTTAAATTGATTTTTGATATAGAAAAAAATGATCATAGGACAAGATGAAGTATAGCTGGACATTTAATATTCTCTTCTTATCCAGTTGCAAAGTAGCATTAATGTGCTTTCCCCAAAATTCATGAGCTTTATGTAGATACTGAAAAATCACAATTCCTTTTTTGTCTTTGAATTTTGAAGTGTTTAACTTTTGTCTCTAAATTCAGATCTAGAGGTGATATCTATCATTAAAAAATAAGGTGTGGTTTGTCTTATCTTTTTTGGGGAGGCGTAACTTAAGGCAATGTTGAGGCTGGCTTTTGTTTTTGAAAATTCAGGGTACTTGACCTTTTTTTTTTTTTTTTTTTTGCTATTCTGACATTAGTACTTTAAGAATCTGTGATTTCTTCAGCATGGGCATCTCCTTGCCACCAGTGTGGATCACAACCCCTTGACAATTTAGTAGATGGTCTTTGAGAATTACTGTGGCTGAAAAATTCATTACTCCGCAGCCAACTGGCTGATGAGCTTAGCATGATGATGAGCTTAGCTGATGCCCTTAGCTGGTCCTTGGACAATAAGAATGTAGCCTGTCTCCAGACCCACGTGCAAAACCTTTCCAGCTTGTTAGGACCTTCCAGAGCTTGTGCCCACTCTGGCATAGCTTTCAGGAGCATAGGCTTACCTCCACAGCAAGATAAAAAAATCAAGGTAGGGGTAGGGCTTTAGTGAAGGTCGGGCTATACTTACTCAAATACAATGATGAGATTTTGTTTGAAGAAATCTTGTTATTGTTACAAAGGGTAAGTTTGAATTATTTGAATATTTAAGGATTTTGGATTGCTAAAACTTGCCCTCTGAGATGCTGAACAACTACTCTGGTGCTGGTCAGTAATTTGAGTTTAACCATTAATAATTGATTCCTTTAGGGGAGCACAGGTTAGCAATCTGTCTTTTTATATACACATATACACATATATACATACATACACACACACACACACACACATATATATACATATATATATATATATATATGGAGAGAGAGAGAGAGATAGACAGAAACAGAGAGACAGGGAGTGACAGAGACAGACAGAGACAGACAGAGACAGATAAACAGACATGGAGACAAAAATGGAGCCAGAGAGAGAGAGATGGAAACAAAGAGATGGAAATAGAGAGAAAGAGAGAGACAGAGAAACACAGAGATAGTCAGAGAGACAGAAACAGAGTCATATAGAGATAGAGGGAGAGACAGAGAGGCAAAGACAAACAGATACACACAGAGACAGACAGAGACACAGTCAAGAGATAAAAATATAAGCTCTTTATTAGAATGTAGAATTAACATTTTCAATTAGTATGTAGACAATGGAAAGGCAACACAGCATAGTGGACATAAAATTGGCTTTGCAGCCATGAAGACCTGGGTTCAAGCCTTGCTTCTACAACCTAGAGGCTATATCACCCCTGAGCTAATTAATCATTTCTCTGCATCTCAGTGTCTCAGATAACTCTCTTATAAGTTGCAGAGAAAATACTGTTCTGCCTTGGGGGAGAGAGTTTCCTCAGCCAGGAATTCATTAGACCAGTGAAACATTGGCCCAGTACTTGTCCCCCATTTACCTGATAGCCACACATCTAATAGACTACCCCTTTGAACACAGTTTAATGTAACAAAAAATCCAGTCACTTTGAAGTTATCTTACTCTATGTGTTACCTAACTTTGCTTTTCTTTTGTCACTTTACTTCTCAATTACTGTTCTTCTTTATCCAATACTTGACAGAGGCATAAAACAAGCATGAGCCATCGTGGCATGGCCCCAGGGTGCCAATCTGTTGGACACAGGTCCGTGCCGCACACTCCTTGAACGGCCTTGTGCTCAGCCCTCTTCCTCCCGAGCGTCTGCCCTCTCCCACCCCAATGGAGTCCTGTCTCTCTGCAAGGCACAGTCAGCAGGATCCTGCAAGATGGACTGCCCCAATCATTCTGGGTACTAGCCCAGAATCAGCAGCCAATTGATGAATAAGAGTGATGGCCAGCTCTCTGCCTCCTCTCACTAAGCTTGCCAACAAAATTTACTCCTAAGTCAGCATCCTTGCTGCACTTATCCTATTGACAGAAAGCTTAGAGGCTTTAACTCCAGTGAGCTAGGCATGACTGAGTAACTTGGGCTCTAACTTTATGTCTGTAGTATTCATCATATTAATTAGGGGCAATTTTCACTCAACCCAGAGAGCAGAAGACTCTCTGTGCCGCACCCCTTCTTCTCAAAATGAAAACTCACAGGAATGCATACGTCTTGTCACGTGATTTTGTTTTTTTCTCTCCAGTTGAAAGCAGACTGGAAATGAGAAGGAAATGAGCTTTCTCTTGTCATCCTTATTTCCACTTTGGGTTTAACCTGCTTCTTATATCCTCTTTTCTCTTATTGAAGATCTTGATACAGTTGACCAGGGCAGTTGTTGGGAGCATTGCTGCTAAAACTCAGCCTGTTCCTAAGGAAAATTTCATTAAAGAGTCACCTTTTCTTTTTAAACATAAAAAACATTTTTAAACTTATGTAGAACATAAATGAATGAATGAAAATACATTTAAGTGCTTACTGTGTGCCAAGCACTGCCAAGAACACATCAAATGTCACAACACATTTTTAAACATACAGAGCAAATGAAAATATTTTAAAACAGTATATGAAAGAGAAACCGTTTAAAAATTTTCCATCTGTTTTGATATCTTCACAACACCGAGTAAATCATTTTACCAAGTACTTATTATTTTCTATACATATGCAGGTGTAGAGATATTACTTTTTCATTTAGTATATTTTCATAGTTATTACTATTTTCAATCCTAGCAAATATGCATATTTGTGCATATGTGTGTGGCATAAAGAGCATTGAAGCTGCTTAAATCAGGCCAGAGTGATGACAGCAGACTTACCTTAAACTTTAAGACTGACATTTCAGTCCTCACACTGCAGTGCACTGATGCAAATCAGTCGCTTCATTTACTTTTCTTATAAGTTGAGTTACCAAATTTTGAAATTTCATTTCCGCTGGATTTTGCTATACGTTTACCCAGAACCAACCCTTGCACACCAATTTTGCTTTCTCTTATATGCTGATTTCCTTTATCGGGGTCTTCGCAAAAGTTAATATTCACCATCAGAAGCCAGTCTTCTGTCATTTCTTAGTGATGCACATTATTTTTGTGTTGTTGTGAACAGAATGTACATAATTATACGTCACCCATGATATTACCCCATTTACTGTATTTGCAGGAAAAACAGAGATTTCTGACTGATGTGCTCCACGAAGTGATGCTACTTGATGGCCTGGCCAGTTCACACCCAGTATCCCAAGAAGTGATCCAGGCCACTGACATCGACCGGGTTTTTGACTGGATCGCATATAAAAAGGTGGGTATAGATAAAGCACATGCCAGTTCCATTATGTGGCCATCGTGGCACCATACTGTACTTTGTTGTTGTCATTGTTGCTATTGTTGCGTCAATAAAATAGAGATGATAAAACTTTTTAGGATTTGGAAGGATAAGAAAATTGATGTTTAAACTCAAGATCTTTGGACAAATCATGTTTAAAAAATTTGAGAGACATAATTTCTGGATAATGAATCATCTTATTAATAATACTAGCATTTTAATAAAAGGTTAGTGGCACTCTTGAATGCCAAAGATAATCATGGCGACAGGCTCAAGGCTTAAATGCCCTTGGAAAAAGGGTGTTCCTGAGGACAATAATCAACTCTGATTGGTTAACAATGAAGGAGAGGATGAATATTACAATGAGGGGCTGGACCTATTCTAATGAACTTCGATTATATCATTTACTGCTAAGTTACCCAGACTCTGGCAAACTATTCAAAGAATTTATCCCCACCCAAACCTGAGTAGCAGGTTGGATGGGGTCTGACCAAGATTGAGGAGAGTTAATTCTGTCTCATTATCGGTAATGTCCTTTAAGAGACTGAAATTTGAAATAAGGACTATAGAAAAAAGGGGAACTCTGGATCTTCCCCAATCATTGGTTATTAATAATCATTTCTCTCAAGAGTATGTTTCCATTGTCTTTTTTTTTAAGATTGCTGACGTATTTGGCAATGGTATATACCTCTCACCTGGTTAATCTGGATAGTTTGTTCAGAAAGATGTGGGCTAGTATGATAAGATATGTGCATTTTCTTCACTTGGTCGTGTGAGTAATGTTAAATAGAGGAAATATTTTTTTTAAATTATAAGCCTAATGCATTGAAGGATAAGAAGTACGAAGCATAATTTTGTAGGAGAGGCTTGGAATTAAAAACAATACTTTTTAACTGGTAGTTTGAGCCCGAGCAAAGAATTAAGTGTGATCCTAGGCCCCATTGTGATTTAAAATGGAATAGTTACTTTTCCACGTATGAATTACCAACTATTAGATACAGAAATTTTTAGCAACTCAATTTTGAAGTATAATGTTGGGATTATATTAATAAATCATCTTAGATAGTGTGAATAGAGTTAAAATCCATGATAGTACTGTATCCCTTAGTGATAGTTTAATGTTTGAGGATTTCAGATTAAATTTTTGTTCTTAAAATTGTTATGATTGATTAAGATTAGGGTGGATAGGAATGATACTTGAGATATTGAATTATACATTCAATCATTATTTCTGGTGAGTACTAGTGGGGATGATGACGATGATGACGATGCTGATGATGATGATGAATTATCATCATTATCAAAATTGTTGATCCTCTCTATCCATTGCTTGGTCAATAACTCTTCTCCTATTCATAATTGTGTAAAGTATCACCTTCCATGCTCTTCTATTTGTTAAGGTGATATTGCCTTTCGCTTCTATATCAGGTTTCCATTTGGAGTTTATTGCAGTATATTGTGTAAAATTTCGGTCTAAACCAATTTTCTGTCACTCTGCTTTCCAGTTTTTCTAGCAGTTCTCATTGAAATTTAGTTGTTGGTGTCCTTGGTTTTGTTAGAAGCTATGTTACTATGTTCATCTACTTCTATGTCTTTTGTACCTAATCTGTTGTACTGATTGAGTTATCTATTTTTTAAACAGTACTAAATAGTTTTAATGATTACTGTTTTGTAGTATAGTTTGAAATATGATACTGCTAGGTCTATATCTTTCCCTCCCATCTATTTTTTCTTTTGGTCATTATTACTCTTGAGATTATTTACCTTTTGTTTCTTTAGCTTGATTAACTTTTTTTCTTATTCTATAAAGCAACCCCTTAGAAGTTTTGATTGATACAGTACTGAATATGGAAATCATTTTAACTAAGGTCATTTATATTGCATTGGAATAGTCCAACTGTGAACATTAGGATCTTTCCAATTACTTGAGTCTTCCCTAATTTATGTTTTTATTTCTGTCTCTGTTTCAAAATTGTTTTCACGTAATTCCTCTGTCTTTCTTGATAGGTAGACACCCTGATAATTTATACATACTGTTTTAAAACTGAAATTTCATTTTCTCTTTCTGCTGGGTTTTCTTGCATAATATGAAGAAAGGCTGATGATTTTATGAGTTTAATTTATGTTCTACTACTTTACTGCAGCTATTGTTTCATTTGGTCTTTAAGTTATATCGCTGTGACTTCCCTAAACAAACTCATATCTGCAGAAAATAGAGATTTTGTATCTTCTTTGCCAGTGTTAATTCCCTTAATTTCTTTTCATTGTTTTAGTACTATAGGTAGAATTTATGGAATTATATCAATTAATAGTAGTTAAAATATATATACTTGCTTTACCCTGGATCTTATTGAAATCACCTTTAATATTTCTATGTTATAGGTGGTGATAGCGCCTGGCTTTAGATAGATACTACTTACCACAATTAGGAAACAAGCATTTTTCTATGCTTTTCCTAAGTTTTTCTCATAAATAGTTGTTGAATTTTATTTAAAAATTAGTTTTCTGCAGTTATTGATATATTTAAGTGATTTCCGGTTGCTTTTTGTGTTAAACATGGTCTGTTATATTAAATCTTTCCCTACCATAGAGCTATCCTTGTATTCCTCAGAAAAGTCCAACTTTGACATGGTGTATATAATCTTTTAAACACATTGTGTATAGTTTCCTTGATAATATTTTATTCAGTAGTTTACTTTGATATTCAATAGAGATATTGGTCTATACGTAGTAAGTATTCTTTATAAAATTTTATTTTACATGTAAATTTTTAAAAATTTGCTTTTTTAAAAAAATTGACTTGCAAATTCTTTTCCTCCCTCCCCTCTTTCCCCCTTGAAGAGGCAAGCGATTTGATATCAATTTTACACGTGAAGTCTGCAAAGCATATTTTTATATTTAACCATGTTGCAAAAGAAAACAGACCAGAAAGAAAAAAACAAGAAAAATAAAGAAAGTTAAAAAAAAGTATGGTTAGATCTGCATTTAGAGTCCATCAATTCTTTCTCTGGAGGTAGATAGCATTTTTAAAAATAAGTGCTTTACAATTCTCTTAGATCACTGTATTGATAAGAATAGCTAAGTCATTCACAGTTGATCATTGTACATTATTACTATTATTATGCACGATGTTCTCTGCACTTCATTTTGCATCAGTTCCTATATATCTTCCCAGGTTTTTCTGAAACCATCCTGCTCATCATTTCTTATAGCACAGAAGTAATCCATCACAACCATATTGCACAATTTGTTCAGCCATTTCCCAATTGATGGGCATTCCCTCAATTTTCAAGTCTTTGCTACCACAAAAAGAGGTGCTATATTTTTGTACATACAAGTCTTTTTTTTTTCCTTTTCTTTGATCTCTTTGGGAAACGGACTTTGTAGTGATATTGCTGGGTCAAAGGATATGCATAGTTGTATACCCCTTTGGCCATAGTTCCAAATTGTTCTCCAGAATGGTCGGATCAGTTCACAACTCTGCCAGCAGTGCATTAGTGTCTCAATTTTTCTACATTTCTTCCAACATTGGTAATTTTCCTTTTCTGTCATATTAGTCAACCTGATAGGCATGAGGTGGTGGTTCAGAGTTTTGCATTTCTTTAATCAATGGTGATTTCAAGCATTTTTTTCATATGACCATAGATGGCTTGGATTTCTTCATCTGAAAACTGCCTGTTAATGTCTTTTGACCATTTATCAATTGGGGAATAGCTTTTATTTTTATAAATTTGGCTCAGAAGGCAGAGCCAAGATGGCAGAATAGTCAGGGACTCACCTGAGCTCTTCCCCAAAGCTGTCCAAATACCTATAAAAATGACTCTAAACAAATTCTGAAGCAACAGAACCCACAAAAAGACAAAGTAAAACAAATTTCCAGACCAAGGCAAAATGGAAGGTTGGCAGGAAAGGTCTGATGCACCATGGTGAAAGAGGAGTGAAGTCCATAGCTGTTTTCAGACCTCTCAGCCCACAGATGCCAAAGACAACTTAGAAGGTCAGCAGGAAAGGTCTGTCTCACCTGGGTGATAGAGGAGTGCAGTCCAGCACAGACCCCACCAGTACAGCCCTGGCCACAGCAAACCAGGAGGAGGCCTAGGGAGTGATTGAATCAGCAGTGACTGCTTCTGGAGCTCTCAGCCTACAGACAGTAATGAGGTTGAATAACTGTTCAGAAGGAGATTACAGGGGTCTCTTTGCTAGCACTGAAGCAGCACTCTGTTGATTTGTCCATACTCAGATCTGGTTTACAGTCCTGGATGACAGTCCCAGGAAGAGAAGGAGCACTAGTATAACAGAGCTTGTGGCCACAGTGGAGGGGGGACCCTTCTCACAGTTCCAGGGTAGAAAAGAGTGCTTGTGGTCATTCACAGACCTGTGCACAGGCCAGGAGAGTACTAAATACCTCTCCTTAGATCATATCACCTTGAAAGAACTGAAAACTTACTGGTAACTAGAAGTAACTCTGAAAACAGCTGCATAAAACCCCTGAAGCTTGGGACAGCTACTTTAACATAGAGTTAAAAGTCAACTAATAGGCTAGGAAAATGAGCAAACAAGAGAAAAAAAAAACTCTGACTCTTGAAAGTTACTATGGTGACAAGGAAAATCAAAACACACTCAGAAGAAGACAACAAAGTCAAAGCTCTTACATCAAAAACCTCCAAGAAAAATATGAATTAGCTTTAGGCCATGGAAGAACTCAAAAAGAATTTTGAAAATTAAGTAAGAGAAGTAAAGGAAAAATTGGGACAAGAAATGAGAGTGATGCAAGAAAATCATGAAAAATGAGTCAACAGCTTGGTAAAAGAGACCCAAAAAGATACTGAAGAAAATAACATCTTAAAAAACAGACTAAGCCAAATGATAAAAGAGGTCAAAAAAGGTAATGAGGAGAAAAATGCCTTTAAAAGCAGAATTGGCCAAATGGAAAAAGAGGTCCAAAAGCTCACTGAAGAAAATGATTCCTTAAAAAT